CCTTCCGGGTCCCTGGATTGTTTGTCTGGGTTCGAGAACTTGCTGTTTCTAATTGATTTATTTGTTCTGGTGCTGTTTACTCTGACAGAATCTCCCTTTCTTGGTGGCAATAAGGAAGTTCACTTTCTCGGGAACATTTTACTGCTTAGGAGCCTTCTTATCACCTCTAATAGATCCCATTAACCTTGTGGAACAGTCACACTGGCTCTGGCATGGACAGACAGGAGGAATCTCAGGTTGTTTGTGTGTCTTGTGCACACTTTTCACCCTCCCTCATGACCCAGATGGTTTCCACCTTCCTCAACTCCTCTTGTCATTGATAGTGTTGTTCGACATCATCGCCCTGTTGTTTTTAATCCAACCCTCACATGCCATCTCCTTCCCTCTCCTCTCTTTGCTGTTCATCTAAACTCAGCTCCTTGGGGCTCTTCAACCTTGTTTCTATCTGGGAAGCTGAAATCCTTTTGCAACTGTGCAACAGCAGCTCCCACCACCATCCTGGCCCTGGGAAGCAATGTCCCAGCACACAAAGCCACCTCACCATGGGGACAAAGCTGTGTGGCTGTCTGTGTGCTGACCCATAGCAGACTGAGTGCAGATGGCTCCTCCCTGGGATCCCCTTTCTCCAGCCGACTGGCAGTAAAAGGGTGGCCAGTGCTGCTGGCTCCCCAAAGCATGACACCACTGTGCCACATGCAGGGACCTTAAGGGACAGGCAGATCCAGTGTCTCACCAGACCATAGCATTTGACCAAGCTGGGGACATGGCTGCAGCCCACGGGCCACAAACCATGTAGCTGTTCAGGGCATTTTTAGGGTTTTTTTTCCCCCAATGGGAAAACCCATCCCTGTGTTCCACAAGGATGCAGGGAGGACACCTGAGGGTGGAGAGGAGGAGATAGCTGGGGTAGAAACGCCCTGCCTGCTCCCTTCAGGAGTCCCCCAGCAGTCCCTAAGGAGGCAGGGACAGTGCCATGCCCGAGTGCAGGCAGTGGTGTTGGAGTCTCAGCCAGGTGCGTGGAGCAACCTGCATGCCTGGCACACCAGGGCTGCCTGCGGTCTCGCTGCCAGGCGACCCTGCCTGTTGTTTATTTCACTTCCTGATACCGGCACATGCCTGTGGCTGGGTGTCAGGGCAGGGTGCTGGGGACCACAAGCTGCCAGGGAACACAGAGTACCCACCCGATCACCCCGGCCTGTGGCCTCCACTGCAACGCTGAGCCCCATCGCTGCAGCAGGCAACCCCTGCCTGTCACAGCAGGCTGGGCTCTCCAACGGGAGCCTCTGTTTTATGGCATGGCTTTCCTTTCCCAAAGGGTCCCTGGGCCTGCAGATGGTCCCAAGCAGCCCAAGGTGAGCTAACCCCATCCCAGCCAGAGGTGCAAGCTGATCTGGATCCACTGGGGTAACTGGGCTCCAAGGTCTGTGTGGAAAATCCCAGCCACTCATTTATCTGTGAGGCTCCCGCAGGGCTGGGCCAGGCTGGAACACGGCGTTCAAGGAGCAGGGAGGGACACTTGCATAAGGCCAACTGCCTTGGCTGCCGCTGAGGCTTCCCAGATGGGGCTCCCGGCATGCAGGGCCAGCAGGATGCAGGGGAGAGAGAGCAGGAACATGCAGAGCTGGGGGTTGTCTCCCCACATGCACCTGACTGGACCTCCAAACCCTTCTGCTCTCCCCATGCTGCTCCAAACATCCTCCCAGGCAGCTCCTTGCCCTCTGCACGCTGCATTGAGCATCACCTACACATGTACTCCCTTCCTCTGCAACAAAAAGTCCCCCAAGCCCTTATCTCCTTCACGCCCCGAGCTGAGCCAGCTTCCTGGCTGGAAGGAGCCCTGGAAGCTCAGCCTGCCCCACCAGGGTGGGAGGAGAGGGACACATGCTCAGCCCATTCCCAGCTCACCTCCATTCCTGTCCTCATCCCCATCTCTATTCGAATCCGAATCCCCATCACATCTCACCCCCACTCCCCTCCTTATCCTACCCACATCCGCACCCCATTCCACCTCCCTCTCCATCCTTGGACCAAGGTGGAGTTGAGGATGGGGTGTGAGTCCACAGCTCCCCCCCCTCTTCCCAGTGCCACATCTGCTCCTCGTGCAGGTCGGGGGGGGCCGGGGGGCCGGGCGGGGACCGG